GAACTTATAGGTTCCGTATCTGGTAATGAAAGCAGTTTTCTCTCTATCTTCTGGGTGTACTTTTACTTGCCAGTATCCACTCATAAGATCGAGGGTGGAAAAATAAGTAGCTCCAGCAAGTGAGTCAAGCATTTCATCTATTCGGGGTAGAGGATATTGATCCTTCTTGGTAACGGCATTAAGTTTTCTATAGTCTACACAAAATCTTTTCTTTCCATTTTTCTTTGTTACTAATACAACGGGAGAGGCCCAAGGGCTAGAGGACTCTTTTATTAACTTATTATCCAACATTCGTTGTACCTCTTCATTAATAAATGTTTGTTCAGTTAGAGGTACCATATAGGGTAGAGAGCTGAAAGGAGGTACATTGTCAGTAAAGATTCTATGGGTTACTAGGTCAGTTTTACCTAGTTGGGTCATATCCTTTGCAAAGAGGTCAGCAAATTCAAGAAGCAATTGTCGAAATTGAGCTCCTTGGTGAGTAGTTAAGGGTCCTACTTTTGGTTTTATTTCCTGAGTCACAGTATAAATCTCTCGAATAATTCTGGGTCTAGAATTGTCTGTATCTTCGAGTAGTTTTTGATATTGCTCAGGATGACTCAAAAATTTTGAGCATTACTATCATCAAAGGTGGCAGAAGAAGAGGATTCATTATACAAATCTCTTAATCGATAGTGAAAGTTTTCAAAATAATTTACTCGAGCTTGTAATTCCTTTATGGTCTGGTCCTGGTGTTCAAAAGTTTTAGCTTGTTTCTGTAGCAGAGCAATGATTTGGGCCTGTTGCCTAATCTGTTCCTGAAGGAGAGGGACTAGGTCTGTGGGTTCTAAAGTTGTTGACACAGTTTTTATTGGTGCAACGATAGGTAATTCTGGTGTTGGAGAGGTTGGAGGAGACAGAACTTCTGGATCTAGAGGAGGGTGAAGTGCTTTATAACATTCCTCACAATAGGAGTTAAATTGTTCTAACTCAGTGTTCTTTTTGGTCATAATACATTCTTTACAGAGTCCAACCGTTCCTTGAAAATTTCTTTGTAAGTTTTCCATGGCTTTCCTTTGATCAAAATCTGGATGACTAGTGTCAAAAGACTCTTCTAGAATTCTTTGTAGAGTGTCCTCTTCAGTTTCACTTAATTGTACTTGGGCGGCTCTCATGATAACATTGACTTCATTATAGGTATAGTCTTGGTTAGACAGGTCAGCAGCCTGGGGCTCCATAGTATGAGCGAGGTCTTCATTACTTTCTCCAATCTGTATCTGGGCGAGTCGATAGATTCGACTTTGGTTAAGATCATATGCATGTCCTGCATTTCTGGTGGATTCGGTATAATGGCGTACTCGAGTCCATAGGTTGTAGTTTGAATTCCATTCTACATCTTTAGCAGCTTTATATGCATACAAGCATTCGAGGTTGCAAAACCGAGTATCTTCTCGAATAGAGTCTAGTTTAATTATCTTAGATCTAATTCCTTGCTTTCTACAGAGCTTACATTCCATTAGCGTTCCTCGTCCTTCGCCATTAGTGAAGAACTCTATACTTCGTGGGTCTTCTGGATCTAGGTCTTGGTGGAAATCAATCCAACATCCTTTACAAATTAAGGTTTGCTCAAAAGGCCTGATTTCTTCTGGTCTTTTGGGTACCTTGCATTTACAGCAATGGTTAACTCTAAAGGGGGAAAAGTGGGGTAGCCGATTGGTATTTACTTCCTGAGGTTGGCAACCACATTGATATTGTTGGTTTTCAAGAATCTGGGTCATCAGGGGGCAGTTGGCACTGATATGTCTATACTGTTTGCATTGGTAACAGAGGTTATCAGGACAGTCCTTATATAGATGTCCGGGTTGAGAGCAGGTCTTGCAAACATTTCGTTTGGGGGCTTGTTTAGGACAATGTGCAGCTAGGTGTCCGTAACGGCGACAACGATAACATTCATTGTTAGGACAGTCAGCATAAAGGTGGTTATAAGAGTAACAGCGTCCACATTTTTGTTTAGTGAATGAGGCGCTGGGTCTGGATTTGTGGGTAACGGTTGTCCAATTATCAGGTTCAATTTCCACCACATAGGCTTCCTTTGGACGGAGGTATTCCTGTTCGAACTTTTCTAGTTCCTTTTCATCAGTAATGGTTGGTTGGGCAGATAAAGGTTGGTCGTGTTCATAAGTAGTGGGCACATGGATTTTTTTTTTGTTCCATCTAAGAGTATAAGCCTTATTTTTCCAACTGTAGGTGGCATCTACCTTTTGTGACCAGTCATTTCCTAAGAGTAATGAATAAGAGGTAGCATTCATTACTTCAACATCCATGGGAATGGTGGTTCCTTCAACTTCAATTGATAAGTTTTTAATTACGCCTAGGGGTCGGACAGAGGGTCCGGTGGCTGAGACAATAAGGCTAGAAGAGGGTGCTTCTATTTTCAATCCAAGTTCTTTTACAACTTGGCTAAAAATCATACTGACAGCAGCACCACTGTCGATTACAGCGTGGTAGGGCTGTCCATTAAGTTTAATATTGCATTTGACAGGAGTAGTATAGGTAGGTGTCTGAATTTGTGTAGTTTTGGGATTTTCAACTAAATAATTAGCAACAGCAGTTCTAATAGAGTCATTAACTAGAAAGGCTTCAAATTGTTCATAGGTATAATCATTGGCAGTGTCGAGAGTGTAAACATCACGAGGATAAGGAGTAGACGATCGATTGCGTGATCTGGATCGATCAGAAGAGCGGTGGTTTCG